TTCTTTTTGTCTGGAATTTCTTTTATGTCGTCTTCTTGAGGACTGGCAATCGTAATAGTGCCTTTTTTGTCATTAAACTCCTGTTCACGCTTTGGTACAATCGGAGTTTCGAAAAATGCTGGAGAATCTAGAAACATACAATTCATTCGCAATTCAAAAGCAAAGAATCACGATATAACAGTTACAACGGATATACTGCTATTAAAAAAAATGCAACCACTAAAGCTGATGCAAATAGGTTCTCTTCTATGACAGTAATTGGCAGCATGAGAAATAAGAAAATTTTTTATTCATAAAAGATTTTCTTGTTTTTCGTCTGCCAGATGTGGAATCAGAAGGTATCGAGCGATGCTAGTTTCAAGTCATCAACCGCACAGTAACGGCACGATCCTTAAGAATTATTCCCTAAAGGTATCCTTGTATTAAGTAGCCTTTTGTATTGGATTAGCCTTAGCCTATTTGTATTTGTAGTCTTTTATTCAGCAGTTGATCAGGATAATGTAGCAATACAAAAACTAAAACGGAAAAAAACTTATACAGCGATCTGAAATTAAATTAGAACTTCTGTATATTGAAATAACACTCAAAATCATTGGAAACATTCTGCAGACAGTCGCATAACATGTTCGAGATGCAAATCCGTGATATTTGACTAGCGAATGGTAATCCATCTGCTTAAAAATCCAGAGAAGCTGAAGAAAGCGATCCAGAAAAATGGTTGAAGCAAACAGACAAAATTAAAAACATTACTTCATCCAAGTGAAAATGAAAATATCAACCGACTAACGAAAACTCATAGGACAAGGACCTTGACCTTGACAGAAAGCCGCAATTCCAAGCAAGAGTATTTCCTGCTGAAAATGAATTGTTATAAAAGCAAAAAATAACTACGATCTACGTCTTTACTTCGAGAACAATACGAAAAATCATCAAGAAAAGACGATGTACAGATCTTCATAATCAATTCACATTACCATCAATGAGTGGCAAATAGCCTAGCTGAAATTATTACTTGGAACTCGCTGTGCAACGCCAGTTGGTCTGCATACATAACGCTGTTGAAGGTCCTTGATTTTTGCAAGATCATTGTTCTCAACTGCTTCAAGGTATTCATTCTGAGCTCGCAACTTCTCAACGTCCGGGAAAAAATCACGCTGAATTATATATTCCAAATTGGCGACGTATTCATCCTCTTCAAGAACTTTCAGCTGGCATTTAGACGAAGAATTAGCGGCATTAACCAGAGTCTGGATGCCAGAACAAGTTGCAGGAACTACTGCCATTACCATTAATTGTAGTATATGAAGTCACCTTTCAACGATTGAGAAGCAGCTATTTACGATTACAGTTCATACATAATGTCTTCAGGTTTGGCTTTAAAGCACAATATGTTCGTTAAAAGGGTTAATTAAAATAGGCACTAAAGATTAATATCTCTGAAGTATTCTGATTGAATGAGTTGACTAAAGAATTCTATCATTCAGGAAGACGTAAAAAACGGTGACCAAAGCAACAAATTTGTACAAGTTACATTGTAGAGCGGTTCAGATCTTCAGACAACTAAAAGCAAAGGGCAGTGCAATGTTTCGGTACAATACGGTGTAAAGACTTATCTGTCTCACACTTCTGAAGTATTGCTGAGAATAAATGACTATGCTTTATAATTTCTGTCGTGTAAATTCCGGTGTTAGTAGCTGAATGATATTAGAAAGCAGTTTTCTTTGCATAATAGAGCGCAGGTTTCAAACCCAAACGCGAGGTGAAAATATTCTCTCGATAACTGCAATCTTCTTTTAACATGGAATTCTTTTTACTTTGCTTCAATGCATCTAGTGGCGTTAAGTTACAGCCAGGAAACGCGTTGAGCAGGATAAACAAGCATCGTGTTCTGGCATGGTCATCAAAAAAGTGCCAGACATGTTCAGCTATGCTGTAGTGCTTTGGTGTCGAAATTTAGTTTATCACTTTGGTTTCGAAATTTGCCGTGACCTATCTGATAGTCAACAAAGAATTAGCACAAAAAGCAAAGATAAATTTGCATCGTAATTGTTCGAATAAAAGTTTCACGCATAGAATCAGCAATAAAACTCAGTGGGCTAATGACTCTGGTTGGAAGAGATAGCCAGTCACAAATGAAAATTTCAAAAGACAGGCAGTATAACGCTGAGATAATTCAAATAGTGCTGTTTAACGTTGGAACTTCGGAGAACGCACTTCATATAAGATAGTGATTATGCGTCTTTCTCATAGCATCACTCTGACGAATATGAAGATTTTTGTAGGAAGTAAGTTAAAACTTTACTGTGCCTTTCAAAACACTTCCATCCGCTGGAAGGGTGAAGAGAGGGATATGATGCATGTCTGAAGAGCTTTGAACAGCAAAAATTCTGTAAGAGATCTTATTCTGAATGAAACCTCTTCACTCTACCATACTAACGCGGGCACATGTATCTTACGACGTACAGTAGCATCCTCTGTACTTTGGCAGCGATCGCCTCAATATGGTCACAAACCAATTCAACTACTGGTAAGAATTTTCGTGTAGAATCGATGTATAACTAACATATGACTGATGATGGAGTGGCTGTGTTTATTTCCAGAATTCACGTGCCTCTCGCCTTACAAACAATTCATTATATTGTTGTAAACTTTTAGTTGTACCCAAAACGTTCAAATTGCATCAGTATTCACGACATGTATCAACAACAGTGCTCGCTGTTCAAAAAGCGGGAGGGTGACTATTTCAGATCTGATCCCACAGATGACGTCACATCGAGATGCAAAACCGCTGGGATTATTTTTGATTTAACGGTGACTGAGCAATGGCTGAACTAGAACTAAATTTTCTAATTAATTTAAAGAAAAAATCAATTTAAATGAAATATTTTTGTACTTTAAAACAAACCCTTACAGAGACCCAGTTTTAAGACAATCTATTATGACAAATATAAACTTTTCCATACTGAATTGGCATTGAAAAGAAAAATATTTTATCCTCTCATTTTTTGGGAGGGAAAATGGGGCACATAATTATGGAAGATAAGGACTTTCAAAACGCATGTTCGAATTTCTATTCTCTGCAACGTTTCAATGTAGGTCCCTTCAGTTTATCGGATGAACTCTCAACGAATTTGGTTATGCTGTTGTAACGAATGATAAATTAAAAGAACTCAGCTACAGTGGTTGCGATTCTTTTGTCATTTGCAAGTTTAAAGGCATGATGGATGGAGCGAGATGCGTAAGCCTCGTATCACTAATGAAGGGATGAGGAAGAAACGGGATAACATGTAGTGAACGAAAATTGTTCTTTGAACGTTCTGAAACAGATGTACCGGTTGAATACTGCATGAACAACACCAATTGTTATCCTCGTATATGAATTTATTCCAGAATTAGTGAGATCGGAACACCAGAGTTTCAAAGAATAGCTAATGAGAAACTGCCAGATTGTCGTTTTTCTGGACACGTGCAGAATAATGTGAAAGATCGTGAATATTAAAAAGATGTAGAAGGTTGCAGCCAGTTACCCATGCTTAGCAAATGGCTGTTAAAACATTTCCTCTGTACGAGAGATTATGAAATAAATAAATAATAATGTAGTCAATTTAATTTAATTGGAGCAACTTTATTCAGGAGTTGAGGTGGCAAAACCATATAGAATGCAGAATCAAATATCAAAAAAAGTTGCGCCTAAGGCTTCCTCTTAGGGTCGCGCAAGACTGTTGACATTACTGCCACTGGCATTGGCCATGTGTTTTTTTATAGGCGTATTGAACTAATTCCTAAACAGATCATGATTCGTCATCGGATGAACTTAAATAGCAAGTTCTGGTGATTTTAAATTGAAAGGGATGCGATAAAGCGAACGATGGGAATTCACGTGAATGAAAACTAAAAACTGATAAATGTATAAAATGATTTATTTATATATCAGTCAATGGAATGATTGACAAGTACCGACGTTAGCGCTCCTCTCCTACGAGCCTTATTCAGTGTCATCCGAGCTGATTTCCGCAATTAGGTCTGAGGTTCGCAGCTGCTGTGATACTAGGAGCCAAAGATGTGCTATTAACCCGAAGCAGCAGTATTGAGCAACGCCTATGTGCAGCGATTTTGAGACAGAGGCAAGATCATAGAAAGTAAAGGCAGGCTTGAAGAAAAGTTGAAGGCAAGGGTGACTGGACTGAGTTGCGTCAGCAATTTGTGGGAGGACTCGTTGAACAATTGCAAAATTATTGGAGAACAATGCTTCAACGATTTGTAACTACACAGCTGTTCATTGCCGTTTCAAGCGTACTTATTGTGAATCGGCTGAAAAATAGTAAGAACGGGAAAGTAACAAATCGAATACATTCAAAGCGAGACAGTGAAAAGATGGACGCCCTGATTAAAAGGTTGGTTAAGGATAATCATACGAAGATTAGAAAACCTTTTTATTTCATAGAGTACAGTTCAAATAGATGAAGAGTTAAAGTATTTATGCACAGGAAACTTAATCTAAATTGGAAAATTATCGTTACTGTTAGTTTGCTTTAAACCGAACAAAAGGATGGTTTAAAATCCAGAATCAAAAAATTAAGGAAACGAAAAATATTAAAATTTAAAATATATCAATACCGCGTTGAAACGGCGAAAACGTGTAAAATGTAAGGTAACAGAAATTCACTTCTTACATTACATCGACACTGGGTGGCATAAGACAGATGAAAATCGCGCAATTAGAACTGCCTCGATATTGCACCATCACCTTGCTTCTAGACTCATAGGGGAAATATTTAAGGAAGACTCGTCTCCATGGTATTTAAGCGCATGTAGTGCATAAAACTCAAGACCGCAGTTCCTAAATGGGTTGAACAAAAACATGCTCAAGCCGAAACGCCAACGCCACGATCCGCAGGCGAAAATATAAAAACATAACAACGATGTGCTGGGACATACTCGATGAGTATAGTTTGCGATACGACCGTCAAGACAAAAGAATTTAACCCCCATGTTATGCGGCAGCTTCCATGAATGTTAGCCTTTATAATAACTGGCAAATGTCACAGTTAAAATACTGTTACCTAATTCACACTGTGAAAAGAAAGACTTCTTAACTTTACACTGATGCCGCGGTAATGTAAGACCGACAGAAGTCTTTACACTGGGTTGTGCAGCGAAAGATTTGAACTACTGTTTGCCGTTGTAAACAAAAAACTAGCACATTTGCAACAAACCTTAATTTCGAATATTCAAATAAGTAGTTGGTTTATAATGATGTCCGATTATGATGCGTTCTTGTCAAATTATGCGCAATTTTTCTCTACTTCATTGACGGACATTTATGATTTAAGTGCCCTACCGACGGATCCTTTTCAGAGTCAACGATTAATCAATGTTTACCAATGGTCAACGGGTTTGCTCATCATCTTTGATGTCGTGGAACGCATGGTCAGTCACTTCCTGCATCGTTTCATGGACTTATCATCAATGGCTAACCTCCTGCATTACTTATTTATGTACTGGTTGATTCCGATACATATATGTGGCATTTGTAACCGGGGTACGATGTTTCGAGCGTGGCTAGTGACAAACTTCGTTTTAATGATGACTGTCAAGAAAGTGAAGTATTTGGTGCTGTTTATTTTGTTCCCTATCTATTTCGTTTGCTTCAATCATGTAACCGCCAGTCGTCACCGCATAGCCAAACGTCAGACACTTCTGGCCTATTGGACCGTAATGCTCGCCATTCTATTTGGTTTCGATACCGACCGAAACTGTGATCACAGTTTGCCCCTCTTAACTTTCGTACCATCTGCATGTATCTTAGCGTACTTCGTGTTTTTCAGCCGTTTCACTTCACGTTTGTCATTGCTATTGTTTTCGTTTGTAATTTATTCTGCAGTGTGTCTTCTTTTCAACGACTTCATAGAAATCCGAAGTGCTAAACATTTTTTTGCCCAAGTAGGGTTCCAGATAATCAGCTGTGTTGACATACAACTTACATGTGCAGCAATCAAAAGAAACGAAGATCAGATTGGTATTCTGTATAAAACCACACTACTGTATATTCTAAGCAGCTATGCGATGCGGTTTGGTTAAAGATTGAATAGCATTTCTAAAATCTGTTTGCTTCAATGTTATATACATAAGGTGACATCACTTTGGTTTGGAATTTATATTTACTTCCAAAAAGCTCTTGCAAACTTAGAACCTGATTAACTATTGCCGATATTTCAAGGTGGGTTGATATGGATTGCGTATTTTGCATACTGAATGGCTCAACATCACGTAGCATCTCCATTCACGCGTTAAACATTTATAAATGAACGCAAATGTAACGTGAAGGAAGGACAAGATAGGCGTTTAGCTAATCTTTCACAGAAATTTTGAGCTATTCTGTTCAAATGGCATAGACGAAGGGTTACCACAAGGAATGTTTAATGTGTAACCAAACAGTCAGCTAATCGTGTATTTCAACAGTTGAGGCCAAAAAGTTTCTTACAATGTACAAATGCTCACCAACGCGAAGAACGTACAAATGAAAGTTGAAGATCCTCTGGGAGTAATGAAAGCACTAAGTTAAGATGAATTAATGAAATTAGTAGGCACCTGTTGCAGATATTGAAAAGGAAATTAATCGATCAAGCTGTCTTGCAGTCAATAGCAGTATCCAGCGAATGCAAAATAAATATTACATTTCATGCTAAAAGGGTGTCCAATGAGAAAAGGGCACGAAGAAACAATCGCTTTCTAGAAATTAAGGAATTTATAAACTGCATTACGGAACGTCTTTGCATAAAAGAAATACTTTAATTACCATGCATGAGTATAGATGGATGTTTAACACAAGTTAGAGTAGTCATAATTCTACCTGACCGGTTTAGACATATTTGCTCAATTCTCAACGCTTGACATGAAAACAAACTCGGTCTTTTCAGGATTGCAATGATGGGAGATAACATTCGCTGCTAACATTCGAAAGAGCCAAGGGATAATTTTATTATTGACACTTCCTAAGCTGCGATACAGGATTTTGTTCCTAACATCAGTAGAGCATACCAGCTGCATATTCTAGAAGCGTCTACTCTTAGGTGGTGCATAAATAGGCTCAGACAATGATAATGAATTTGATTTCGCTTTTGGTTTAAAGAGAGATGGAGTTTACACATGCAGTTAAGATACTTCTTGCACTTCGGATTTTGAAGTTTGCAGCTAACACGCTGCGCTAGGGTAATCAATAGGTAAGCTTAATGAATTCTGTTGCAATGTTCAACTAAGCAAGTTGATAAACTGGTTTGTACATGTCAATTAACATCTTTTCCTCTATATCTGTGACTCGAAAACGTAAAATTGGAATAATTAGATCTGAAAATCACACATATGTAGCCCGTCATCTACAATAAAAATGTGTTGATTAAGAATAAAGTAAAGCGATGAAGTGCGTGCAACAAGAAAGAAAATAATGCCTAAGGACACTAAATAACGGATATTAGACAAAACACGCATAATAACTAATTCCGTTTTTCCTAGTGGCATGAATAGTTGACAAAATACAGTTATACTAACTCTAAGAGCATTTAAAGTCATTGAAATTTATTGAAACGATGAACAAATATTCAACATAGCCGAAGAGTATTGTCTAGATCAACTATGAGCGGTTCTGTTGTTTGAGAAACCTTAAGAAGACGATTTTTCACTAGCTCCTTGAGAGTACCCCGCTGAGCTGGTTCAAGAATATTCAAAATCTTCTAAAATACAAAATCTGGCGTCAAAATTCGTTAAACAGTTATATATTTTACCTCACAATGTTCCCCACCGTCTCTTAACCGCAGCAGCGAAACCAAAGCTTCCTCGCTTGAAACCCGCACCGATGAGTTGCTCTCTTTCGTGCCGTTTAACATGGAAAACACAAATGCCTTAAGCACAAACGGATCGGCAGTAACAAGCGGCGACAGGTATGAAACAATCTCTGTGGTCAGCAGCTTGATGTCCAGCGAAGAATGATTGATGCTACGCGCCACAGCGTTGGACAGCTTTGGATCAGGCGCAGTCTCATTCGACAGCTCATAGTTCATGAGATAGGCAGATGCACGCAAGCCCGCATCGACTATTGGAATCTACAATCGACCTATGTTAATGTGAAGCAAAAATGTGGCATACTCGATCAGCCGTGAGGAATTTCAGCAAACAGTTAACCGGTTCAATATACTTCGTTACGTTCATGGCGTTTTCCATCAAAGCAACCTGAATGGTAACGGCACAATTGTGTTTCGCAACCCAATCACTCGAGGTATCCAAACCTGAACAAAGCCGCTGAAAGTCAGCAGCGAACGCAGAAGCATATAACTGCAGTTTTACCTGTGAGCAAACTAGTGAGCAAAGCAGCTCCTTCTTGAGAAGCGACAATCCGGGCAAGGAAAACCCCAAGTGCCGCTGCCGCGGCGATTCTAACGCTAGCGTTTGAGTCGTCGAGGTATGAGGTGACCGTAGTCTGGATGAGACTTTGGTTTTCGGTTGATAAAGCACCTTTGACGGAATGCAGTTCCAAACGCAGTGCTACCAAAAGCATTTCCCTAGAAATATTAAACATGTCACCCATAACAATGAAATACATCATGAATGCAAAGCCCACTATTGAAATTACATATCCTGTGAACCTATTAATACATGAATTCATGGCAACTAACCCACCACAAGATTTATCCTCAGTAATATCGTAGCAGTTTCAGACGATGATGACACATCCTTACGGTAAAAGGGCAACCGTTTCTGAATGATCACCAGATAGCTAATGGCATGAACGTGAAACTGCGAGAAATTTTTCTGACGTTAATCTTTTACGAACTCCATTATTCATTAAAATGAGAAAACTTTCGAACTTTACATTTATTATCAACTCGCTAATTCGACTTAGTCATGCAGACTTTCCTGAAACAATCTGTAAGAAAATTCTATTTGCCATTTATAGTCTCCGACCGCATGCAAGAAGTAGTTTATCAACTTCACTGCTTGCTAAGTTGATAATTCTTTGCCGTATTAGAACAGTTATCTAACAGGTCTGTTTTCAACTCAGGAGGTACGGGTTCCATTCCGCTAGAGGGCATCTTTGTCTCATTCGCGAATTTTTCTGAGCAAGCAACTTGCCACACACTGCTTCAGATCAGAGTTGCTCAGTCGTGGGGCATCGAACTCAGAACCGAGAGGTCCCAAGTTCAAGCCTCTGTCAGAGTCACTCGCCCATCTTTCTTTCGAGGTTGATAAATACGTACCATTCTGTGGGAAGGAAACAGGAGACTACATGCTAAGCTTGCCACACGGCCGTGGACTGTCTTTAGAAAGTAAGGTACTCCTGGCCGATGACATAGAAACAGAGATCAGCACCGCACCATTCAACATCATGAAAACAAGAGAGGAAAAATGGTCGCCATGAAAGCGAAGGAAGATCGACATTCCAAGGACAAGTTGATAATTCAAGGCTGTCACTGCAAGGGTTAACTTTCGAAACCTCCCAACAACTGCACACCATAACAGGCAAATAAGTACCACTTTGACTTCAAGAAAGTCCACGAGACACTAATTGAAACAATAGAAGGGGTTTATGATCTGTCAAATCAATAATCGGCACTGCATAAAACGAAATGGTCCTACGATGCATTCTGTATTGTTTACAAAATAAGCACGTCCCAATCAATGCACAAACATTCAGCGACTTGCGCGATAATAGTAGGCATTATTTCTGAAGGTATTCACCCATTCTTACGCATGACGAAGATTCAGTCTTTCATGGCAAACTCGACTCCGTGTGAATGAACTGTCATTGTTTCCTGTTGAATCGGTAGTTGCGTACGGGTATTCGCATCGCGAACAATTTACTTAGCAACAACGCTGATTCCTCAAAAGCTCGCAGAAGTTGTGCGTTTCGCGCAAAACATCCAGCATATGTTAATGCCAATAAGAGGCTCCATTGAAGATCCAATATACCAATCTCATATGCAGGGCAGTTAGCAGCAATATTCAATTATGCTCAATGATAAATAGCTGTTGGTATGATCATACATTTATGGGCTGTGAAAACTGCGTAAAAATACAAATATACATTATATGAACAAACTATTGTCCACTTAAATTATATCGATATCGGAGTGACGGCGAAAGAAAAATTCATTTCTAACTTTACACCGACATTGCAGTGGTATAAGACAGATGAAAATCGTACACTAGGAAATCATGCAACACTGCACCGCCCCTTGCTTTTAATAACCTAGGGGGACCACTTAAACAGGCCACGGCTCCATGTTATTTAGCGACTGCAGTGCATAGCAGTACCGCGTTTCTTAGCAGGGTTGAACGAAAAAATTATTAAGCCCACACGCCACGATCCGTCTGCGAAAAAATATTGCCTAATTCAGGACGTACTCTCTAAGATTACCACCCATTCGGAAAACAATATTTGCACATCACCGTTAAAACCTGGTCCAGAACGGGAAATCCGCTTAAAAATCACTGGCAATATATGCTACCTTAGGACTGGATCAGTAGAACTGCGAATGTGTCGACATGTGTCTGCAATAACCAGATCTGGCTTCATATGAATACGGATCAAACAACCAATGGCTTCAGCTGCACGCAAATGAACATCTGATGAAGATTTTTCGGCAAGGCTTTTCAAGAAGACGCTCCGCAGTTGAGGAGCGAACGGTTTAAGAAGAACATCGACCTACAAAATACCCTGTAGTGGCCCAAATGGTACATAAGAAAATTCTAGGCACCTGCTTCAGAAGACTGATCAAAGCCTTCAAGATGGCTGCCCTGACGCTTGGAGCGTATCGATCGCCCAAAACCCTGATCAGTGGACCTGTGACACTAACGACATATGGCTGCAAAGCAGCTGTATCACAGTGGCTAAAGACAAGACAAAGAAGGTCCGCTGATGATTCCCTGATTGTTGCATTTCCATTCACCACACCCTCGCGCAAAATCGTCAATATGGGTTGAACAGTTTTGCTGTTTTGGAAGCCAGGCAAACGCCGAGAGGGCGGATACCCAGAAAAGACAGAATTCAATGCGTGTTTCAGCAATGAAATCTGATCGAGCTGCTCCCGTAAAGACAATCCCTGAAACAAAGGATTACAGCACGCAATAAAATTCAGAAAAATGGAAACATCTAATATACGTTCAGCCATAATTGATATATTAAAAGTTAAACGACCCAGAAAAGCCTTAGGTGTGTTTCTGCTCGGGTCACGTCAGCATTTCCACGTATGGGCAAAATATATTTCACTCAATCAAAACTAAATTTTTCGATATTCCCTTATACGTGAATTTTGAACTTTACCAAGTTTGCAAAACTGTTTTAAGGAAACACAAATACGTTTTAAAGGAGCTGAAAATGCCAAAAGTGTCAGCTTAAGTTTGTTAATAGACAATTCTGGATCAGAGAATATAGTTGATTTTGTAAACAGAAACTTAATCTTAATAAAATATTTAGTGAGAATCAATTAAGGAAGACAAAAAATATTCCTTTGGGATGCAAGACAAGAAATATCATGCAAGGGAAGAAATTCCAATGTTTGAAACTAGAATTCTAGTAACAGTTAGGCAGAGTTTGACCTCCTTAGCTACCATCTGCTACAATGTCCTAAACCTAGCTCGTTTGAACGATCAATTCTGCTCCATCTTGTCTTGAAAAAAGAGGAAGTCAGGGTGTGGCATAGCTTAACATTTGACATTAGGAATAACATCACAAAGTATGCGCAAACAATAAAGTATGGCGCACCGTTCAGTCGGTTAAGTAGGCTGGTAACCCAAGTTATAACAGTCTGTCGACAAGTGTTGAGTACGCAGTTTTATAAGTTGGATATTCCTCTGAACATCAGGGCTTCTGACACGTGTTTTGCATTGCACTGTGAAAGTGAACCACGGTCCTATACTGTATGATTTCAGTTGAATTCTGCTGAAGGACACGCGATCATTCATATGTACTTTTAAAGCGCTGCCACAAACGCAACGGTCACGTGCTTAGATCTGAAAGACATAATCCGTTCTGATGCGACTGAAAATCATCAGTATAGCAAGCAGCAGGAAGAAAGCAAGTAAAGACAGATAAAATATCATCTTGCCATAAGATATCACGACTTCAAGCACATTAGAAACTGCCAATAAAATAATATAAAACTCTTGAAACGTCAAGATCTCGCAAGAGATTCATCAACTGGAGATTAACCGCTGAAACTGATTTGCTTCATCAGATGTCATAAAGATTTACGACATCCCTGCGTTTTGTAACACTGTTACAGCAATTATATTTTGCCATCGTTTCCCATTCTGCGCAATAGCTGTTACGAGGTGTCAGCCTTAGTTTACAATATATCTGATGATCAGATCCGAGACAGTCAATATAGAGGCAGTTTGGGGACCGTGCTATGATTAAATTGGAGAAAACAGTTATACAGATGTAATCTTTATTTACCTATTTTTGCACGCAATTGAATAACAGTCTATTTTTAACCTTCCGCAATAAAATCCTGACTTTCTATTACTTTCTGAACTCAAACTGTTCCCAAGATGAACTTACCTTCAAAACCGTATTCAAAACGTCGGCTGCCAAAGATAACACATCCGCGTCAGAAAAATGATAGGTACCCAAAACGGAAGAGAATATTTCATTGGCATTAGATAGTACGGACACCTAAAAAAATTTCATAATATCACACCAGCGCACAGTGGTACAGCAATAGTCATCACTATTTATAAACTAGCTTAGAATCAAAACATTATTCAAAGGTTAAGCGCAAATCAGCCCACTAAAAGCACGTTAGAAAATAAAAGACGTTACATTACAGCGAACTGTTCATGTGCTTGGCAAATTTCATCTGCAAACTCCATTGCATTCAATGGGAGCAAAAGAAAACATAACTGCTATTATTCTACAGTACTTCGCACAAAGGACAAGAATTACTGAAACAGAAGATGTCGAACAGTCGAGATACTAGGAAGAGTACGCTTTTTGGTAATGACACCAAAAATACATGAAATACAACAAACAACAAAGGACTGTGGGAACAGCGTATGCAGTAATCAAAAGGAAGTCATGATCAGACCATTATAAGATGATGCCATCCTGAACGAAGGATAAGAACTCAAACGTATGAAACGAAAAAACCCCAAGCAACATTAGACGAATAACACCAGGACACCGACAGCAAAGGACATCATCACTTCTACTGCTACAGACATTATCCGCGCCAAAACCGCGGAAACACGGCACAAAGGCGTTGCTCAATTCTGTCACAGTGTCGCCATTAATCTTAATAGAGGCTATATTTTAATTTTTTCAACTGTCATATTGCGACATATGACATCTCTGCTTCATTTTACAGTTATTCAGTACTGCCGTCAAGAACATGTTCTGCATGGCCAACAATCTGTCATAACTACGACTTCTGTTGTAGAAAATAAATATGAACAAATTGCTCAGAATTTCAAATGATAAGAGGGTATGACTTCAGAAGAGGCTTCCCTATTTACCAGGCTAGTACTGAAATGAAATTTCCAACTCTTGTTTTAAATTAAAAAAAACCGCTGCAAGAATTTTAAATTCGTATAAACCGCAAGTTAAAAATCACAAAAAAAACACCTTTGGCAGACTACAAAGTCGGACAAGTATAATCAAAGCCGCATGGACAGAAGACAGCTTAGACGAAGCCAGCGCATCAAAGACCAGCTTCAGTACGGTTTCTGCATCTTCGTTGCTCGACAAGGCGTTGAGTACTATTGTACAGTTATCCGTCTCCTGCAATTACATGCACATCAAAAACTGAACCAAACGTAGCGGAATAATCATAATAAAAGACCGACACCTGTTGCACTGCATCTGGATCTCCGATCACGTCGGCTAGACGCTGATACAGAACGGACATAATTTTGTACAGCTGCTTGCTCAATGCGTCGCCTGATTTTGCAGCTATCCGCGCTAACGCTGTCGTATTCGCCGGAAATGCAGCCAGCTGAATGAAATGACTTTGTGATTGAAACAGAAACAGTCTCCTACCTTGGACACGATGAACGGCAAAGCCGCCCTGCCCTTCGAAGAGACCAGTTGCTCTAGACTGTCTGTCACAAGTGGTCCGATGATGGGATCTCGCTGAAAAAGGAATGCAATAACAGTAATTGGAAAGTCATCTTAAGTAAACGAAAGCGCACTTACGATTTTACCGATCAACGGTTCGAGTCCATCTTCGAGTGCCTGAGAACCAACTGCTGAGTAAAGTGAGCAGAGTGTGGAGCTCCCTGCAAGACGCACCTCTGGGTGACTGTCACACATCGCTTTAAGTATCGTCTGCGTCAATTTTTCAACGTACATCATGACCTGAGATCAACTGGTATAAGAATGAAGCAAGAAAGTGAAATAAGTAATACGATTTGTTTGTTGGTGTTTCGCAATATTTCTGAAAGCGCAATACAAACCCCACGGCGCTCTTCCGCCACTTTAGACGTAATGCCTTCTTCCAAGGCTGGAATGACATCAAAGAGAATTCGGTCGCCCAACTTAGAGACAATTTCACCAAGACACCGAGCGGCGATCTAAATAATATTAACCTACAATGTACCAAATGGTCACTTCTGGCAACCAAATACCTGCTGCCGGTCAACGTCACTGCTGACAAAACAGCGCAGCAACAAGGAAAAAAGAACAGGAAGAATTTCCCTGAGTGTTTTCGGCGTATTGACTATGACAGTCTTCCAGATGTGATTTGCACTTTGGCGGACGACGTATTCGCTATCACTTCGATTCACGTAAAGGCCAGAGAGAACATAATTACGGTGTTCAATTCCCATTGCATTTAAAATGACCTAAATGTGTGACGATTCATTCATTAGTTAAAAGAAATCTATATGATCAATAAACACTTATAAAAATATTGCACAGACAAAAAAATGAATAACATATACTAAAACTGGTTCTGTCACGAACACAAAGCTCTGAAAATCTGAACAATACTCTTTTGGCACAGTACTAAACAAATCATCAGAAACCTATAATTTTATCTGACATGTGTTCGTCAGCAGTAGCTCCACTGATGCAAGTCGACATTCCGCCACTCTCGCGGTTTCTGCCCTTTCCTTTCATCGTTGACCGAACAGTCTAATCATCGCGTCGTCTCAGCGATAGAGTGTACGTCCAATTCAGAGAAGGATTCAACTGACAACTCGGAAGATCCACAAAATGTCCCTCAGACGATGTATATAGTCGTCTCTTGCAGTTGTATTAAGCAAACAGTATATCCAAAATCGTGATTACTGCACTAAGGTATTCAAGAGAGCCTTTGCACATTCTTTCCATCGCTCTTTGCGCTACTACTATTTTCACTTCCACAGCCTTCGTAGTAATTAGCAATGTGCGTGATACATCTTGACAAGTCAGCCGGCGCAGTCGAACAATCCGTTTTTCGTAGATACGGACAGTTTGTAACACAGCAACGATGTTTTAAAGTGTCTGAAACTTTCCAATACCGCCTTTTTTTCTTCTGATTACCTCACCGCTGATGTTATTATTGGATGATACTAGGTGCTGAGGTATAAATACATAGCGACTTTCGCCATTTCTTCGCCGTCAGTGAAGATGGTAAACGCGGGGCAGTGCTTCATTTCATTATAAGACGTTCATCTGTAGATACGTGACTCCTGTAACCGTACAATATTCACTCGAAGTTCCGCTGGATCACTGTTGAAGATGAAATGGTCATCCATCGATGTTAATGCCGCCACAAAAGTTAAACAGTTCAGAAAGTTTCTAGCGCTGTCGGAATAAGTTTAGGAGTGATGCTCTTTCTGAGGCGCACTCTTCTAGTAATACTGGTTCTACACAGTAGCTCGAACAACTTATGTCGGCTCGGCTGTGGTGAGAGTATTTAGTTTCTCTATCACATCGTTCAAGATCGGGTTGATACTGCAATCATCAAGAAGTACAGCACACAGTCCGATGTAACCGAATTTTCTTACGAAGTCGATAAATGCACAGCAGAGTGGGAATTCATGTTCCTTGCACTTCTCTGTTAACAGCTTCACGACGCATGTGGCCTTTGGTGGCGAACCCTATTCGGAAACCAGCTTTTTTTTGCTAGTGAGAAAGTTCAGGTCTTTTCGATACGGAACGGATGATTCAGAAAAAAACGCGAAAATTTTACAGGAGATCGGTGGCCGAAAGTTTTGGAGGTGCTCAGCATTAACTTTCCGAAACATAACAATCGTCGAAGAGCTCTCCCATCTTTTTGGCGTCTTCTTCAACCTGATGTACTCTGTAAATAGATCGGTAGGAGCTTAAATAGGGTCATTCCTCTCCATTTAAGATGTTTTAGTTTCATGTCGTCCCTGCCAGAATATCTGTCACCCTTGATATTCTTGATTTCCCACTCAACATCGTTTACGGTGACAGGGGGAACGGTTTCCGGATCAACATGAGACAGCCTCCAGTTTACCATTATCTTCGAGGAAAAGAGGCCGTGGTAGAATCTCATGCAAATCACATTTATACAACAGTGATACGTGGTTGTTTTACTTCCTTTGTCTTTAACTGCTACCTAAATAGCCGTTTAGGCGAATGCTATTTTCAGCAGCCCTCATGCCATTTGTCTTCAATGCAATCTCTCTAAGCTTAGTTTTCCGGCACTCGTCAGATTCCGTGTTTTTTGACCCAACGTAGTGTACTCGTCGTCCAGTTACCCATCAGCTTCTATTCTCGCTCTTCTGACCAACAACGTCACAAGTTGTTACTGACCGGTTACAAGCTGATGCACTGTTTCCTCGTCAACAATGATATGACCGGATAGTAGTTCTGATAGCGTAAACGAGGTGCTGGTAGTCTGCGTCGAAAACTCTGTTGATGTCTATTGCGAAGTTTAACTGAGAAAGTTTGTCTGCGAAAGTTTGACGATTGAATATTCGTCAAATGACAGGTGATCTTTGAGCCCTTCTAGCATGATCTAGTTTAGCGATATGGATTGACTGTGAATCGAAGTAATTTGCTGTCAGTCTAAGTGCAGACGGTGCTGTCTCCAATAGTCTTGTGTCCGTCAGCATGTAGTTGCTAAATTCTTTCCATTAAGGATCCTTTATAACCACATGTTATTCATTATGTAATGGTAGTTACAAGGGCAAACGCCTTGAGGCTGACATCGCGCTGTCTCGCGACGTTAAAATCTCTTTAGACGAATGTGCGCAAATGGACATCTGTTGCCGTGCACTTTTCAACTCCTCGTAAAGCTGCTTCGCTTCTGTTTCTTCTGCCTGGTGTGCTGGACTGGAAACTTGAATTACCGTTAGTCATCTCTTGTCCAACCTCAGAATTAGCATGGCGACTCCTGGTGAAATAAGGTCATAACAAACTACTAGCCGTCTGCTTCACAACGAATCTATCGACAGTTGGGGGCCAGTTTTCCGACACTTTCCCGAGGAATATTTGACCCCAGTTGTTCACTGCGCACGATGTTCGGCGCATCTTCGGGTTTCGCAGAGGACAAGAACGCCTGTTTCGATGTACTTCGCGTCGATAACGTAGATGTTGAGGAGCGCATCTGACAACAGACTTCTGGTGTTGGGGCTAGTCCACAAAGATCCTGATGATATCTTCCTGCCGTCTGCCAGTCCGTTCTTGTGTCTTAAGTAATTCAAGCCGATGCGATAGTGTACGTAACGTATTCTTCGT